CCATGGGAGTCTGGTTCTCAGGGAAGGGGAGAGAGACTATGGTGCTTATGAACCCACAGGAGATGGGCCTGGGAGTGGATCCATTTCCCTCATGGCTACAGTTGCTGGAGAACTCTGTCTCTGAGGAGTCCTGATCAATACCATAAAAGGAGTGGGGGGCATAATTGGCTGTGGGGGGATAAAGTCAACTCTCCCCCCTTCCTGCCCCTGGCAGCAGCTTTTGGTTGGGTTCTGCCTTGACATACTTGTTTTACCCAGTTGCTCCCTAGAATGTCCTAATGTGATGATGTAGCACTGCTGGGATGGGGGCTTAAAGGTTATAAAAAATTGCAGTCCACCGTGTCAGTGTGTTCATGGAATCCTAGGACTGAAGAGGCCCAAAGGATCATCAAGTCGAACAACTAAAGAATCCCTGACATGCATCCTCTGCTTGAACACCTCCAGTAAAGGAGAGTCCACCACCAGCTGAGGGCATCCATTCCATTGCTGAACAGCTCAGAAGGTTCTTCCTAATGTTTAGTCAGAATATCATTTCTTGTCATTTGAATCCATTGGTCTGAATTCCCTCTGGAACAGAAGAAAACAAGGTTGCTCCATCTTCCCTGCGACAGTCTTTCAGATATTTGAATATATTTTTGGAGGTTGCCATTTGTATTTATCCAGAAGACTCCATTGGAGGGATGCCATGCAGCCATTATGGGCACCTTTATCAAGATATGGATCTCATTTTTTTACCCCCCCCCAAAAAAGTCTCTACATCTATCATCTATCTATCTATCTATCTATCTATCTATCTATCTATCATCTATCTTTCTATCTTTCTATCTATCTATCTATCTATCTATCTATCTATCATCTATCTATCTGTCATCTCTATCATCATCATCATCATCTATCTATCATCTATCTATCTATCTATATCTATCTAATCTATCTATCTATCTATCTATCTATCTATCTATCTATATCTATCTATCTCTATCATCATCTATCTGTCTATATCTATCGATCTATCTATCTATCATCTATCTATCTATCTATCTATCTATCTATCTATCTGTCTATCTGTCTATCTGTCTATCTATCTATCTATCTATGATCTATCTATCTGTCTATATCTATCTATCATCTATCTATCGATCTATCTATCATCTATCTGTATCATCTATCATCTATCTATCTATCTATCTATCTATCTATTGGTACAGCACTAAAAACAATGCAGATACCAGCTAAAGAGATGCTGTGATGCTGTAAGGTGTTACTCATGAACCCTCAGTTTTGTCAAGTTAACTCTGAATTTTTTGCTTATGGAGCATTGTGATGGGAGCATTATTTCAGCATACCCTTAATTCACACCATTATAAAGGATGATTAGCTTGATCCCACTAACAGAGCTTGGTCTCAGGCCAATATTCTTAAAATATCTCCCCCTGTCCAATTTCCCACCAGTTGGTTAACAAGATACATTGCATTTTTTAAGGTAGATTCTATCCGAGACATAAAGGATTTACCCTGAAAGATAGCTAGAGGGCACCAGAACATATACACTGTGATGCAAATATACCCATGGTGACATTTATTCCATGGTGAACAGTGGGATTGCTCTAAACTAACGAGGTAGAATATGCAAAGTGTTTTAAATATACCTCTGTTCAATGTTCTCCCATATTGGTTCCTGAATCAAAGCTAGTTTTTTAAAGATGCTCACATGTGGTTAAGGTTGGGGTAGGGCAGGGCTGATGTAAGTCTTGCTGAAAGGGAATCAGCATTGCCTTCAAGGAGATACAGAAGCAGATATCCAAACAACAAACTTTTTAAGCCGAAAATGTCCATCTCTTCAAACTCAGCAATGAGCATCAGGGTGGACTCAACTGACACCATTTCTGAGATGCTTTGGGGGAAACCATAACTGTGTAACATGGTATGATTCTGCTTTGAATTTATTGTGCAGATTGGATCAATGTCTCTCACTCACCTAAATAGAGGACAAAGAGGGATGTATGAGTGTATATAGAAACCAGCCTACTGTACAAAGGCAAAAATTTTGTTTATTGATCCATCAGACATTGTCTCTGGACCCACCCACCAATTGCATGTGGCCTTTGAAAGCTTGCCTCAACTGGAATGTGGCCCTCAAGTTGAAATAGGTTTTCCACCCCAGGTCAAGGCACATTCCAATGTGCTGACTCAAGATCAAGCATCATCATCATCATCCATCATCATCATCATCATCATCATCATTATTATTATTATTATTTGGATCACATCTTTTTCCAGATTGAGACTTATGGCAGCTGACACCAATGAACACAACAACAAATAAAATACATTATATGCCATGCATGGATTTTTTCATGCGGGCTTTTTCACAAAGCAAGGACAATGGAGAACAATGTAACTTAAGGAGCTGAAAAGCCTCTCTCAAACAGAAAGAGCTTGTAAGATGATGTCTTTTGGTACCCTCTTCATTCTGCTGCGCTAACAAGCTTATAAAACTGGTGTGCTAGTCACAGCCGAGACGTCTGTAATTGCCACCACATTGAGAGCACTCGGTATGATGCCTGCCTAACACATCACTTGCAATAAAGGCAGGAGTCAGAACTTCTTGCTGCTAATAAATAAAACAGAAGGGAGCAACGCTCTGCTCTTTCCTTACCTGTTTTGTTTTTGTGGAGGTTGAAGCAGCAGAATAAATTAATTGTGTACTAAGAGGATATGGCCCAAGAGGCATGCTCCCAACTGTTTCATTTCATGGCGGAAGGCATGCATATAACATAGCTACAGTTAATGGCTCCTATTTGCCATTCTATACTATGAGGCCATTCCCCAGTCTGTAGACCCACTCAGCCAATCATGATGGAGCAGGCGAGAAAGCACCACAACTGCATCAAAAGTCCATGGACTCAATAGTGTGATTCACTCAACACAAGAGGGGAGTAGAATTTATTTTCCCCCATCTCCTACAGCTGAACACAGGGAGCAACTTGATGGGGAAACTCAACATAGGAACATAGGAAGCCAGCTGCCTTATATTAAGTCGGACCATTGGGTCATCTAGCTCAGTATGGTCTACACAGAGTGGCAGAGGCTCACCTCTGGAAGCTTCAGGTGTGGAAGCTTCTCTCAGCTGGAAATGCTGGGAATTGATTGTGGGACCTTCTGTATGCAAATCAGAGGCTCTACCTTGAGCTATGGCCCTTCCCCAGCTATTAGGTAAAGGTAAAGGGACCCCTGACTATTAGGTCCAGTCGCGGACGACTCTGGGGTTGTGGCACTCATCTTGCTTTATTGGCCAAGGGAGTCGCCGTACAGCTTCCGGGTCATGTGGCTAGCATGACTAAGCCACTTCTGGCGAACCAAAGCAGCGCACGGAAACACCGTTTACCTTCCCGCCAGAGCAGTACCTATTTATCTACTTGCACTTTGATGTGCTTTCAAACTGCTAGGTTGGCAGGAGCAGGGACCGAGCAATGGGAGCTCACCCCATTGCTGGGGATTCGAACTGCTGACCTTCTGATCGGCAAGCCCTAGGCTTGTGGTTTAACCCACAGTGCCACCCGCATCCCTGTTATTACCAGCTATTACCCTTCTTCAACGGGGTGAGCTCCTGTTGCTCGGTCCCTGCTCCTGCCAACCTAGCAGTTCGAAAGCATGTCAAGGTGCAAGTAGATAAATAGGTACCGCTCCAGCAGGAAGGTAAACGGCGTTTCCGTGCGCTGCTCTGGTTCGCCAGAAGCGGCTTAGTCATGCTGGCCACATGACCCGGAAGCTGTACGCCGGCTCCCTCAGCCAATAAAGCGAGATGAGCGCCGCAACCCCAGAGTTGGCCACGACTGAACCTAATGGTCAGGGGTCCCTTTACCTTTACCTTTACCTTTACCTATACCTTTACCCTTCTTCAAATGTGCTAGTCTATAGTCATGTGGTCCCTCTAGTTATCGTTGGACTACAACTTCCATGGGACTGATGATTCACATCAACCTGGGAAGGTAAGTCATCTAGGAGACCCAAACCTCTTTTGCCCTACTTAGTGCTACATCTTTTGATGAGTTCGAATGGTCCAAACCGAATGCTCTTATAAGTGTGTCACAGTAGGGCTTGCTGTCCCTTTCAATGCTGATCTCCTTATCTAGATCAGGGTGAAACCATGAAGCCAGTCTGCCTGGCTTTTTCTAGCATTGATTAAATTGCTCTCCAGGAGATTTGTTCTCCCTCCACTTCCCTGTTGGCATTTCTCTCAGTGGGGAATTTTTCAAGGACAGTTAAGGAACTCAGATGTAATTGCTACACTTTCCATTAACGTTTAAAAATGCTGTCCTTTAATGCTCACAGTTTCTTGTGTGCATGGATTATCCACAAAGGACTATATATATATATATATATATATATACACACACACACACACACACACACACACACACACATATACACACACACACATACATATACATATATATACATACATATACATACAGTGGTACCTCGGGTTACATACGCTTCAGGTTACAGACTCCGCTAACCCAGAAATAGTGCTTCAGGTTAAGAACTTTGCTTCAGGATGAGAACAGAAATCGTGCTCCGGTGGCGCGGCAGCAGCAGGAGGCCCCATTAGCTAAAGTGGTGCTTCAGGTTAAGAACAGTTTCAGGTTAAGTACGGACCTCCGGAACGAATTAAGTACTTAACCTGAGGTACCACTGTATACATATACATGCCATAGGTGAATGAATGGAAAGAATCGAAGAGCAAACTGCACATGGACAGGAACCTTTTTAGATCCTGGTAATTTCTAGAGGGATAGCCATGCTTGTTGTCAAACCCAGGAATAAAGAGATGAAGCACATAAAATAGACTGAACTCTGGCCACATTACTCCCTTCATGCATAAAAATGTAAAGTATAATCATGCTCTGCAGTTTCTGTGGCTGCCCAATCACTGGGATTCATCACGTGCACAGGTGAAAATGCCTGAATCATGTACAATATCCATTTGTGTGCCGTGCTCAGTCGGTAGAGCATGAGACTTTTAATCTCAGAGTCATGGGTTCAAGTCCTACACTGGGCAAAAGATTCCTGCATTGCAGGGGGTTGGACTAGATGACCTCCGTGGTCCATTCTGTTGGGAAACTGTGTACGTGCAGCTACTCACACAGAGTCAATTAAGGTTTGGCAGACAGCCAGAAGGCAATCTGAAGGAGTAAGTCTGCCTGGTGATAACAGAGACATGGAGACCACTCCCTGATTGGTCAAGCTCTTTCAAGGGAGTGATAATTAATGGCCCACTAATTGGAATGTGTTGGTTCAGGAGTTCAGGTTCAGAGTTCAGTGTGTCAGTGTAGGAATTGTGAGTCGTGTCAGAGAGTGCTAGCAGAAGATCCGTGTTCTGTTCCTGTAAATAGTCCACTGTATATAATAAACACCTAGCTACAAGTTCCTGGTTCCTGCTTCGTCTATCCTGTCTGCAGCCAAGTCGCCAATTGCTTCTGTGGATTCTGCGTTTACTCTGCTAGGTCTGGCTAAGGTCCTGCAACTAGTCAGAAAGTTGTGAAACACCAAATAGGTTTTGCCAATGCATTCCATCTCTACAGTTCTATGATTCAATGTTCTCAATCCAGTGGCTCAGAGAATGGTGCAGATCTGAACGGCTGTAGCCTCATCATATGTGCAATTGGCTTCATTGAACAAAAGCAGCAGGTTCGGTTAACCCACTGGCTGTTTCTTTGCCAGCCATAGTTCTGACAACAATATTCAGAAAATTGTTGTCTTTTTCTGGAAAGCCGCCAACATCAACCTCACTGAATGGAAAATCAAGATATTTGAAACAGCCTTTAGTGCGCTCATGCCCATATACACATCTTCACACGGAAGCATATGCACAGGGCTGGGTCTCTGGCATTGTTGATTCACATGTGTGTGAGTGTGCAAGCACCCACTTTATTCCTACATGTCTGTGGGTCAGGAGAGCAGGCTAAACATAAAGATGCAAAGTTAGCTACATGGGAAGTATATAATAAGCTGCTAAAAACGTGGAACGCTGATGTGAAACTTGATCTCCTCCCCCTGCTTAAGTCAGTTATTTATGGTGTTTGTGCAGATTTAATGATGTTTTTTCCCTTGAAAATAAATACACAAAATCAGAGTCTCTCATCAATCCAGCTAAATCTACTCATCCTGCTTTTCAGCAGCACAATGACCTTTTCACGCTGTCTGAGTAATGTGTGCCTTACAACATTCGTAACTGATATAGATTGCTTGTTCTCTCCCTGCATGGTGGCCTCATGATTAATAGCACACTGAGAACTAGCTCCTTGCGCTCAATTCATCACCTGTCATAATTGTTCAGTGGTTAAATTATTATAAATCTGAGACTGTCCTGAGACTGTGAGGTTGACAGGGAAGCAGAGGGCAAGCATGTTCTCATGTTGTGTTCAAGACCTATAGCCTGACCCTCAGCTTTGCAATATGCTGGGGACATCTTAATACTGTCTCCAGTATTTTGCAGATTCAGACAACCAGTTGATGCCACATTCCTGTGAGTTCTCTCCCCCGGCCCCATTCAGTTGTGTTGAAAGGCCTGAGTAAAGGACCATGTTTCTTGCAATTTTCATTGAGAAAATTCCTTCAAATTTTAAAATAAATGGCCCAAAAGGTCCACCCCTTATAACCTCATGTAGAATGAGTTTCGGAGATGAGCAAACACTTATAACCATTTGAAGTGGAAGGAACAGCACAAGGAAGGGGGATCTTGCTTTGATTTGATTGGCTCACATTTCGTTTGACTGCCATTTTAGAAAGAAGACTGCAAGTTAGAACTTAACAAAATTGTAAATGAAATGAAGAGGTTGAACACTGAGTCATCGCCCCAACCCCCTGCCAGCCATGCAGTGAAAACCTATGTAGGTTTGCTGTAATCACCCAGCCACTCTGTATGGTGACCTGTATTCGGAGAAAGGCATAAGCTGCTCAAAACCTGGGGAGGAGTTGCTGCACTAATTCTTAGCAGGTAGACAGCATCTTAAAAAGCAGAGACATCACCTTGCCAACAAAGGTCTGTATAGTTAAAGCTATGGTTTTCCCAGTAGTGATGTATGGAAGTGAGAGCTGGACCATAAAGAAGGCTGATCGCCGAAAAATTGATGCTTTTGAATTCTGGTGCTGCAGGAGACTCTTGAGAGTCCCATGGAAGATCAAACCTCTCCATTCTGAAGGAAATCAGCCCTGAGTGCTCACTGGAAGGACAGATCCTGAAGCTCAGGCTCCAATACTTTGGCCACCTCATGAGAAGAGAAGACTCCCTGGAAAAGACCCTGATGTTGAGAAAGATTGAGGGCACAAGGAGAAGGGGACAACAGAGGATGAGATGGTTGGACAGTGTTCTCGAAGCTACCAGCATGTGTCTGACCAAACTGCGGGAGGCAGTGGAAGACAGGAGTGCCTGGCGTGCTCTGGTCCATGGGGTCACGAAGAGTCAGACACGACTAAACGACTAAACAACACAGATGACTGTTGCCTTCTAGAAGCCAGAAGCGGGCATCAGCATGGAGGTCAGTGCCATGCAAAAGTACCATCAGGAGTCCTGAATTAACTCTGCCAGTCTGTTTGCATAGTCCTGAACTTTCCTCTGCCTCTCCATTCCAGTAAGCAACGATGATTCACCTACTGGAAAGCCAACATAGCTGCTCCCCCACACCTGTTGAGCTGATTCTAGAATACTAATAATTCTAATAATATTAATAATATTAATAAGGGTGCAAATGCCTTGGTACTCAAACAACCTGGAACCCAAACACTGCAAACATGGAAGTAAGTGTTCCAGTTTGCGAACCATTTTTGGAAGCCGAACATGCTCCATTTTGAATGTTACGCTTCCGATCTGAGTGCCACACTTCCGTTTTGAGTGTGACGCTGAGGTCTGTCTGTTTTTGTGGCTCTCTTTTTTTTGTTTTTGTGACTGTGTGGAACCCAGTTCAGCTCCTGATTGATTGATTGATTGATTGATTGTGTGACTGCAGTACATTGTTTCTTGCTTTCATTTTAGGGATCAATGGTCTCATTAGAGAGTAAAATTCATGTTAAATTGCTGTTTTAGGGGTTGGTTTTAAAAGTCTTGAATGGATTAATCCATTTTGCATTACTTCCTATGGAAAAACGCGCCTTGGTTTTGCAACGCTTTGGTTTTGGAATGGACTTCCAGAACGGAATAAGTTTGAGAACCAAGGTATCACTGTAATAAAACACTGCACAGAAAGAATCACACCAGAGTTACTTTTTCACAGAGGGGAAGAGAGTCGTGAATGAACTGTACAAATTGAAAGTTGCGACAATCCACGAATGAACAGCACTCTATATAAATATTGGGTTGGGTTTTTTTGTTTTTTTTTAAATGTGACTATGGAAAGTTTCTAAAGTTTCTAAAGCATTGGTTCTGTTTTGCAAACAAGGCCAGGTGGTCCTGAACTCCGGGAAGATTTGGGAAGAAATTTGGATGGAGAGAAATGATTTTGCGAGCACCTCAGCTCTATGCAGCCCAAAGTAAATGTATATGTTCTTGATTGTATAAATCAAACACAGTGTATTTGATATCTAGCAAATCATTTTGAGTTCTATGGATGAATAAAAAAAATCCAACACAATCCACCCTCAAGATTGTATTCAGCTAACTTCTACTCAGTGTAGATCCATTGAAATTAATGGACTCAACTTAGTAGTGGCAATAAATTTCAGTGAACCTGCTCTGAGTAAATGCTACTTGAATTCAACCCTCATAGTTGTACTCAAGTCAAAGTTCTTATTAAAAGTGTGACGCAGGAAATTAGCTTTTCTCAGCCAGCAGAGGGAGCAGCAAGTAATAGATCGATGAGAAGGAAGACTCCTTGCTGGGCAAGTCCCAGATCACAATGCCACCTTTTTGCTATCATCATGTAATACATGAGCTTGGGAAACAGATATTTGCCCAAAGCTATGAGATGAAAACATAGTTGAGTAAGACCATGAGTTCAGGACAAAGTCCAACGCACCATCTGTTAGAGTGGGCTGGAAGAAGCTATTATTCTATGGAGCCCTTTTGCAGAATTATGGAAGCATTTAAAAATAATAATAATAATATCCCTACAGCGATGCTTGTGGAAAATGCATCGCAATCCTAATCCTGCCACAAAAGAAACTATTGTCCTAGTTCACGTTTCTCAGGATATTATATTAGCTATCAATGGATTGCTATGTGGAAATTCTGGTTGAGATAGTAATACAGTGGTACCTCGGGTTACATACGCTTCAGGTTACAGACTCCGCTAACCCAGAAATAGTACCTCGGGTTAAGAACTTTGCTTCAGGGTGAGAACAGAAATCGTGCTCCAGCGGTGCGGCGGCAGCAGGAGGCCCCATTAGCTAAAGTGGTACCTCAGGTTAAGAACAGTTTCAGGTTAAGAACGGACCTCCAGAACGAATTAAGTTCTTAACCTGAGGTACCACTGTATTGTAAAGTGAAAGAGAAGGATATTAATATTCATTGACCTGAATTGTTATAAGTGGGGAGTTGTAATGGTAAACCCTGATCCTAAACCTTTGATGCCTTGCGGGATATCTTCGGAAGAAGAAAAGGCTAAGGAGTGAACCCTACACAAATCTGCATTGAAGTCCCTAAGGTGGTTGGGTGGCGCCTTGTACGCCTCCTTCCAGCAACTCCTGCAGCCAAGGTGGTGTCAAATGTTCTTCTCTGCTTTCCTTCCCAGGATCTCCATACACACTGCCCAGGCTTGTGCCCTGGGGAGGTCAATTGGTGCTCCTAATGCAATGGTTTGGCGTCAACCCCAGAAGCACACTCTGTTGTCTCTTGACACAGACAGTGGCGTAGCTAGCCGCTCAGGTGCCAGGTGCGGCGCGAGCCGCCCATGGGGGTGGGGCGCGCTGCGTGGAGCCTCTCCGCCACCTCCCCCTCACCTGTAGGGCAGCTGAGGGTGAGGCTGTGGGCAGAAGCAAGCCCCACGCTGCCATTTCAGGCAGCGCAAAGCCTGCAGGCGCCCAAGCTGCCACGTCACTCCCAGGAGATACGCATGGCTTGGGCATGCT